GTTTTCTTTTAGGTTTAATTTTCTAATATTTTGATGTTCATTAATTCTTCTCCAGATTCTACTGTTTGCCTAGAACAGTGGGGACATTATCTCATAGTGGCTCATTCCTCACCTGCGAACTGTTCTCACAATCCCGTTTCTGTCTCATGCCCACTTATTGTAGCTACAATTCTCAATTACTGAGAGACTACTCATTTTTCAACTCCAAATGAATTGTTAATGACACTTTATTCCCCATATTATAATTGCACCGTTTTCTTTCTCTTCCAACAGGATCCATTCTGGAATCATTCTTCAATTTTGTAAATTTCAATGGAATGCTTCTCATGTATGCTAATCCTCTTTACCATTCCCATTCTTTCTCTGACTTTAATTCACTTGATATTTCATATTCTTCTGACGAAACGGACTATTCTCAGCTATATATATGTATTACAAAAACATATATAGTGTATATAGATGTACACATATATGTAAAACACATAGACATGTTTTATATATGTATATATACATATATTTAGCTATAGTATATCTATATATACATACAAACACATATGTTAGTCTATAAATAAATATATTAGCTTCAAAAAGATGTTATTAAAATAAGTAATAATTTAGAATGATCAAATTCCATAAATTCAAACTGGGAAGGTTTTGCTCAAAACCTCTCCTACTGAAGAGAAAAACAAAAATATAGACTTCTCTTGCTTAACGCCTCAAAATCTTCTGATAAAAGTCTACCATTTTAAAAAAATAATTGTTGTTTGAATGAATGATTCTACCTCCAAATCAACCCAAGAATGTTAACCACCCCAGATATGTTTATGTGTAGAAATATCCCCCAATTTTGCAAATGCAAACAGTTTCATACCTTGAATTTAAATTTGTATCTGGGAAAATATCAGTCTAATTTAGTATGTGTTTTGAAATGTTTCCATGTACAGTTACTAAATACTCATCTTTGGGCATATAAAATGGTCTGAAAACTGCAGAGGTAACTCAAGGCCAGACTTCCATATGCTGGCAAGTAATTCCATCCCTTATTATTTAATTTTCTGTTTTTTTATTAATACTTCATGTCTTAGTTTCTAGGATTACTAAAATGTTGGCCGTTGACACTTTATAGTCTGCTAATTCCCTCCTTAGAAGAACTTATATTTCCATTATTAAAAATAAACTTAAACTATACCTCTATTCAAAAGAAAGAAAAATAATCTGTTTGGTGGTTTATACATTTAAAAATTATGATGACCTTCTGTACTTTGAAATAATATGCTGTCAATATAGAGTATATTTGCAATTTATAGTGTTTCTTTTTTTCTTTGGGAATTTAAAATATTTTAAATAATTCGGGCTTTGCTTGATTCTCCCAGAATTGTAGAGTATGACTGATAACTGCCTTTAGAATCCCTAATAGCTAAATTATAATTATTATGCAAAGTCCTACAATAGACAGTTATATGGATTATTAAATGACTTTGCCTTTTTTGCAAACTATAATCATTTTCCTTTATTAGCTGAAGGATTTCATAATTTAGGGAAGATGAGAAACCTATAAGTCACGCTTTCAAATAAGGAACATGGATATTGCAAACATTAAATTCCCCCATAAAAATGTTAAGGCATCATTAAACTAGGTTCAGATTAATACAATTCAGTCAACTCTAGATAGATATCTCCCATAATAAGCTGAAACAATACCTACTGATCTAAGATGTAAAATATTTTACTACAGCCAATTTATAAACCTATAAAACATACAGGTATCATTCAACCTCTTTATTAATAGTGCATGCCTTGTATTAAATCAAAACCATTTTAAAAGCCCCTCCCCATTGGCATTCCCTTCCTCAGCTGTTGCCCTCATTATGTGTTATATCACTGAAGCTCATCTACAGTGAATGACAGCATCTTTTTACCAGAAGCAGCATCGGCAATTCCCAGCCTAGTGATACAGTTTAACTATTTCCAAGATTTATAGACACACTTGCGATCCTCACCCTATAACGTTCTGTGGCCTAATGTTCATACATTTGTTTCTCTGTAAGAAGATGCAGTTTTCTCACTTTGGAAAACTGCAATTTATTGTTTTTAGATTTTTGCAAGTTGCTTCTGATGTGAATTATGTTCACAGGAAAACTGATGTTGGGACAAATTCATGTTCTGGACTATTTTCAAACTGGTTGGAAGAATCTTTTTTTCACCGTTTTTCCCTAAAAAGAAAACCAACCTTTTTGCATTGGTGAAATTGCTGACTTTTAGTGAGTTATCTATTTTGAAAACGTATACCCAGGTAACCAACTCAGAGCATAGTGTGTTAACAACCTCAAAACAACACCAATATTTATTATGCTCACAAATCTGCCACTGGGGTAAGATTCTGTGAGCATAACTCATCTCTGCTCCACTTGGCATCAGCTGGACTAGTCCAAGACTAGAGGCTGGAATCACTTAAAGGTTTACTCATGTATTTGGTGGTTCGGTAGTCACCTGCCACACATGGTATACCCAGCCTGGTGCCTCCAGGATGGCCAGATTCACATATGTTGACTCATAGTTCCTGAAGCAAAGTCCCAGGAGGAACATATGGAATTTTAGTCCCTTTCTCAACCTGTTCTCATCACTCCTACCCATTATTTCCACCTCATTCTATTTGTTAAAGAGAGTCATCAAAGATGATGATTCATAAATAAGGGGAAGGGAATTAGAGTCAATCTTTTTTGAGAGGAGAACTGTCAAAAATGTGTGAACATGTTTTAAAACTGTTACATCATAAAAGGGTAAAACAATCCAGTACTTCTAAAATTAACTCTGAAAAATCAACTGTTCATTTCTAAAGCTGCTTCACAGGAACTATTTTTAAACTGTAAATTCTTTTTAACATTTAACAGTGTGTTTCCAGCTTTACTGAGGTAAAATTGACAAATAAAATTGTAACATACTTAGATGGCTTGATATACATATACATTGTAAAACAATTAGCACAGTTAAGTTAAATTAACACACAGCGTGTGTGTGTGTGTGTGTGTGTGTGTGTGTGTGTGTGTGTGTGTGTGAAAAACCTTGTATTTTTTACTATGCTCCACTGACTTCTTATGACAAGATGTGTCATTATCAGGTCAACTAGATAAAAAAATAAAGGTATAATAAATAGAATTTAAACATATTTAGAAATACAAGTACTATCTTTTAGAAACATTTTGAACTCTGGCTCATCACAGATACATATGTATAAATTAAGCTATTAAAGAAATTTCATACCATTTGATAGTAGAGATCTTATATATAAAAAAATGGGTACATATGCTGTTTTTAATGAAAAATTACCCCAAAAGAAGCTTTCTTTAAATGGAAAAATACTCATAAAAAATGAAGACCAAATCTCTAAAACTGAGATTATTCAAAAGAAATATAAGATCAAAATAAAATAAAACAAAAAAAGTATAATGGTTAAGCTGTTACATATGTATATACACATACACACACATATATAGTCAGTATTGAGACTGTGAAAGATTAACAAAATCCTACAAATAGTTGACTGAAAAAGTGTATCACTGAATAACATTACTCAATGAACGTTCATTTCCCATTTACACAGCAATCTAATCCAAATGTTCCTACGTGATAAGAAGCTCTCCTCACTTATGCTTTATGAATTAGTTTCAAACAAAAGCAGATTGTGCCTCACTACACGGAAGTTACCACGAAGTTCATTAGCAGAAGGAAATTATCTCACTCGTGAGAGCTTCATGAGGTACACTTTGTTGCTTACCTTGTATATTAGGAAAGATGGCCGTGGTACAGATTTCTAGGCTGTGAGCAAGGGTTCGGTCAATTGTTCAGAGGCCTGTAAGAGGTAAGACTGGAAGATCAGTAACAAGGAGGACTGGAGAAAAAGGGTGTAAATGGATCTTTTAGAGAGGACGTAAATTAGGTCTTTGTGCATCACGTTAATGCCCATCTGAGAGCATCCACCAAAGAAAGTCACTTTACAACCAGACAGACAAGGTGACCTGTCCTGCAGACAGCAAACCTGCCTCTTTGCTTGGCCACCTTTGTGCTTATGAAACAGACCCATGATAAAGTGGCCAGGGTGGCAGGCATGGAAGCAGTGCATGCGCTCAGTGTGGATTTTGCCTCAGTATAGCTGACTGTGCACATCACTTCTGAGCATCCAACCAATCAGTATGAGAAACGGACCCTGTGCCCCGGACCCAGCACCCCACGTTTGTCAGGTTCAACGGCGGCATCCAGGCTCCTGATGCTCCAGGCTTCATCTTTGCAGTGATGCTGAGAAGCAGGTTTAATGACAGCATCCCTACTGACTACTCTGACCATACAGCATGGTCACTACTAAGTTTCTCAAAGCTCTCTGTGTCCCTTCACCAGTGCATCGCTCACTTCCTTAGTAAAGAAAGCGCTTCCAAATTGTCCCAGCAGTCAGATGGTGGATTCTTGGGGCCAGCCTTCATACTGATTCTAACTCCCCAATCTCTATGAATGTTCTGACCTCTTTTGCATTTTATCACACAATGTTCTATTATTTCCACTACTTTTACTCTGTATATCATCAAGGTCAGACTTCCAAGGAATAGCAAAATGATACGGAGGAGTTCTAGGTGTCACTGCTAAAATGCCAAGTCATGACTCACTGTGATAACACCACATCAGTGAATTCCCTCCCATTCAGCCTAATTGTTGTCACCCTCCCTGACTCCAGTCTCCCATCCTGTACTCAAGATCTTCCACCCTGACCCCCAGGTTCTTGCAATACATGTTAACCCAGGATGTGTTGTAGGATTGCTTGTGCTCGCAGTGCAACTTTGCTGAGACCCAACCTTAATTATCAGTGATTTGTCTGAGGTTGGGTCTAGGATCACAACCTGAAGTACATACAAGGAGGTAGTGATGACGGCAGCAGTGGTTCTGAAGTCCAGGTTTTCTGAAGGAAATTGCACTCAAAGTAAACAGAGAAGGCCCCAAACATTTGCATCTACTGCAATATTTATTTCAGGGCAATAAGATCTTCAAGGATAAGTTTAACAACCAATTTTTACTTTTTTGTTTCCCTATGATGTATGGATTTCTATAGAACTAAAAAACACTAATCTTTTGATATGAAAAGGATCTTAACTGTGTAAGTTATTTTCTCGGTAATGTTACCCCTGTTAATATAGCATATAAGGTAAGGCAGACTCTTTCATCATTAAATCAACAACAAACTATGAATGTATGGACAAGGAATTTAACATTCTTCAGGCCTAAGTTATAAGAAAAATTTGATTAAGTAATATAAGTAATAAATATCATGATATAAGTAATATCAAGTAACTCACTGGATTATTGTAAGGACACTTTAAAAATTAGCCATGCATTTCTATTGACTAGACCATGAATTTCCACGAATTGATATATCAAGCCCTGTAATTTACTTACTATATGAATATTAACTACATGAGCCCACCCCTAGTTATATTAAGTGACATTTTGCATAATAAAGAAAAGGTTAAGTGTGAAGCAGAGTGTAAAAGATACAAAACTCAAAAAAGGCAAACTACGTGTTTAAAAACATCTGTGGTTCATGTTCAGTCACTTCACATCTCTAAGAGATTTTTTAAATTTCATACAAAGGGTAAGTTTAATTATCATCTCAATGTTGAAACTCTGATATAAAAAATCTCCTAGGATGACCTGTCCACTACACAGATTTCCGTCTCTTTCCAAATACGTTATTGATCAGTTTGGCCATTGATTTCGATCCACTGGATCTTCTCTTTTCTTTGAGTTTGAAGTTTGTCAGGATGTCCTTGATAATTCTGATAAACATCATTTCCACCTCCAGAGACTGCTCTGCCGCAGACAGTTCACAGAACTGGCAGCGGTTATCCAGTGCCAGCTTTTGCCCTTCTTCCCAGCCAACCTCTCGCACATGACAGAGATCTTGCTTGTTACCGACCAAAAGTACAGCTGATTCCACAGCTCTGAAATACAGATGCGCAATTCTTTGGCAAGATTATTTTAACAAGTCTTCACTTTTACTAAGTAGGTTTATATAAAAAAAAATTATAGGCTGAAAAAAAGAAGTATTGTGTATGTATGTTTGTCATTAATGATCACACATGTGTGTCTGTGACACATATCCCCATTTACTTACAAAAATTATTCTAGGTAGAATGTAGTATATGGCACAGAAACAACAAGGCTCTTAAAGCATAGGATTTGGAGAAATGCAAACTTATTGAATTATGGCTCTGTTTTCGAATGAGGTAAGATTATAACTTTTCCCACTTTCAATTTCCTTATATATAAAGAATGGTAGGAGTCCTAATCCCAAAGAATTCTCATAGAGATTGTATATAATAAAATGATGTATATAATAATACCTAGCACTGTGCCAGGATGAAAGATGCTTACTATTATTTTTCATTTCTTTATTAATTGAATGAAAAGGACTAGCTAATGCCTCTTTAGAAAATACTTCCTGTAATTGAACAATTTAGATGTAATGTTCATAAGGAAAAACATTCAATACTCACTGCTGTTTGCTGTTTGTTAATATACACTGCCACATACTCTAGAGAAAATGCTACAATCTCATGACCTTGTACCATTTTCCTGTTTATTTAAGAAATATGTTTCCTTGTTAAGATGGTATCTTCTGCAAATATCAATATATTCTCCTTGGTCACAGTGAAATATTATTAATACAGTTTCATTTGAAGGATATAGTCAGACTACCAAGTTATCTACTATGGGAAAGAAATGGGTAAAGTCAGGCAGCCTTCAAATCTATAAAGAGATATTGTCCTCAGATTCTACTTAAAGTTGGTTCCATTCACATAACTGTTTGAATGTGGAGGGAAAAAGCATCATATGTGTTGGACTTTTGAGGGTATTAATAATATCTTCTTTACATGGTTCAGAAAATTATTGTAAATAATTAATGGATAAGGGTAAGTGAAATATTTTGAAGGGTAAGTCACAAATATCAGAAGTAATTTTATTAAAAAATGCCATGTTTTGCTTTCCTAGTCTACCTACAGATTGAGAACTGGAAATAATCTAAAAATTGCTTACTTGGTTAGGAAGATTTCTGAAAAACATCAAATATAGGTTTTTTTAAAATTTTTATGTTTTTGAGTATTGCTGAGTCATTCTTCTGATTTGAAGGAATATCAAAAGAATGGTATTCCTGTCCTTTACACAAGTCCTGGTGCTTAAATATAAAGCATTTAATGCTTGAAACAATGGAGTTTAAAAAAATCAGTACTATTATAGGAAATTAGATCAGTGAGTTACCTTAGTAAAATCATAGCCTTTCGTCCTACCATGTTTCCCTCAGAGACATGAAAATCAGATAATCAAAAAAATGAGGTCTAGAGACTAAAGTGGTTTAGCAAAGGATAATCAGATAATCAGATATAAAGAAGAATTTACATCCACTTACTCCAGGGAAATACTCTTTATCAACTATTATCCCATAGCTTCTTGACAGTGTGCATTTAAAATAGATCTACAAAAAGCACATATACAAATCTTTTGCTTTTTGCTCCCCAGATAAGAATGTTATTTTAGGCTCTAAGGGCAAATCTGGTTAAGAGCACCAAAAATCCCTTACATTAGTATGTGGAACAAACAAAAGTATTTTAAATGGGAAAGGCTAAAACAAAAAACTAAGGAAAATAAAAATGGGGAATTCATATACTTAAACATACATATTAATGCAAGAATGATTAAGGCGCTGCTATGTCTTCCTTCATAGTTATTTGAGTCATTACAATTAACAACAGGGAATTGTTGATCAGGTCTTTATTTTAGGAGGTGAAATGGAGAAAGATGTATTCTTATACTTAGAATTTATAATGGTTTGATTATTCGGTCTATTTTGCTTTGATAAATAGAACAAGTCAATGAGTAGGAATTGGATGCCAAATGTAATAAATTTGGATTTATTTAGTATCCTTAACATTTTTGTGGGAATGAAATGGAAAGGTTGGAAAGTGAACTGCCTTGTGTACAGAGAGCCATTATTTTGCAAGTGAGTGTCATGTTAACAATAGGACCTGTCTTGTAAAATAGCCATTTACTCAGAGCAAGTAACTGTTTATGTCAGCCAGGATATAAAGTATTCTCATCTTATTCCTTTTACTACATGTGGAACTCCTGTGGAATGGAAGGTGAATTGTTCAGGGCTGTTAAATACTGTAATTGGAAGGCTGTATTAAGCTCTTGCTAATGATGCTTACAGCTATACGATGATGTACTAAAGAAGAACAGGGAGAGGACTGAAAAATATCTTACCTTTTACAATGACTAGTTGGTGGCTCCCGAATTCTGTATATCAGTGCTTTTGCTGAAGCAAAGGAAGACCTGTCGCTGATGTCATACACAATAACAAACCCATCTGCCCAGTGCAGCTCACTGGCGAGGGAGCATTTTGCTTTCTGTGGGGGGAAATAAAACAAGCACAATGAAAGTGTGGGATCTGACACCTGGATTTTACATGTTAGATAACAAATGGAGACCCATTTCACTTGAAAGACTTTAATAACCTAAATACTGATATTTTCTAAAATATAGTTTCTTTGTTTCTTTCTTATCACACTCTTTCTTGAATTGAAATTAAAATTTAAAAAATAAGAATAATCAAGTTATATCTAATATCATTTTACAACTTTCCACTATGAAAAGATCTCTAATTTTTCTGAAAAATTGGTAAGCTTATAATAATGGCCTTTTGAATTAATATGCATACATTTGTTTTGAAAAGAGAAAATATTTTCTATCTGTATTAGTAAATCAAATATTTTGGTACTAGATTTAAATCAGTAAACAAACAACACTGATAAAGTTTAGCTGAAAAGATGTAAGGGATACTTTGCATACCTAAAATAATTGTCCCTCAGAGTCATTCTGAAATCTTGAATGGCTAGTTATTCCTTCTCTTACTTATATGATCCTGTTTTAACGTTTTTGTATTTGAATGGACAAAGTTTGTATTCAAAAATCTATCTTACTAATGCTTTATTAATAGTGGTTAGTTAGAAATGCAACTCAGTGAAAATATAAAATCAGTTCATAAGCCATTAAACTATGAACTACTGACAGGTACAGTGCGACCTCATAGAAGTATATTATGAATGCAGCCTAATGTTGCTATTTTAAAGATATTTATCATCATTTTTGTCACAACTTTACAAAGAATCTAGATAATGGAATTCATAATACTAAAAATAATCTTAAAATTTTAATAATTATGAGAAGATACTTCAGTTTTAAGACCAGCAATTTTATACTTACTCTTATCCAATGTTCTTGACATCATGATTAAAAAATAAAATAAAAGAGTATTTTGTTTTACTTACTTGAGAACAAGGGTCATATATTTCTAGATTCAGTTGCTTCCCTTCCAAATACAAATGCTTATTATAGATGGATTCTGCAAAATATGCATGTATTCATTTCAGAATTTTAAAAAATGGACTCATTTGAGTCAGTCTTGTATACTCAACTGGTCATATTTTAGTGGAATAGTACAATGGCTCTTCATTGTTTTTAGTTGTCAAAAAACATATTATTTGTTTTATTTGCTAGTATATATTTCTTACAAATGAACTTCACCACCATGTCTTTTCAACTACATGATTTGGGGCTTATATACTTATCTTCCACCCTATAACTATGGATGAATCATCTGTGTTTCTATCCAATACATTTATTATAAAGTAGTTACCACATCCCCCAACCTATTGAAAGACATTGCTCCACCAATTCAACCTCTTTTACATCATAAACTTTTCTTTTTTACCATTACTAACAGCTGAATTTCTCCTAACATAAAAATCCTTTGAATCCTTCAGTTTCTTTCACCTATTGCCCTATGTCTCTGCTGGCTGTTTGGTAAGTATCTACACCCTCTGTATCCAATTCTCTCCTCCCATGTTTTCAAATTTTTCCAGTCAAGCTTTAGCTCCAGTTATTTAAAATAATTGTTCTCATCAAGGTTATGATTTTAGACTCAATGGTCGAGTCCTGTTTTGATTTTACTTGTCACGTCAATAGCATTAATGTAGCTGATCACTCCTGCATCCTTAAAATGTTTCCTTTCAAGGCAACATATTCTGCTGGTTTTTTTCTTTATCCCCTGTTGCTCCACATTAGTCTTTTTTATTTATCCCATTATATCTTCCACACTCCAAACATGGATCTAGTTTACGGATCTCCTCTCTATTGATACACTCTCTTACTGATCTCATCCAGTCAGGGTCTTTACATAACAAGTTTTGCTGATGAACCCAATCTACACCTAGAGAGCAGACCTCTTCCCTGAAATCCAGCAAATGACTACTGCCATCAGACATCGCCGTCCAGATGCACGACAGACATCTCAAACTTGACTTGCTTAAAACTGAACCCCAGATCTCCCTGCAAAGACCGCATCTTCTACAGTGTTGCATTTCATTAAATGAAGTATCTGTAATTCTAGTTTCTCAGGTTAAAAGCTTAAGGTTATCTTTGATTGATTATTTCACTTACCTCTAATATTTAGTCTATTAAAAATTCCTTTTTACTCTATCTCCAAAGGATATTTTGAGTTTGTTTGCCTCTCGTCATCTCCCTTGCTAACACTCTGGTCCAAGCCATCATTATTTTTGTTAGATTGTTACAAAACGTCCTGACTCATCTCTTTGCATTATCCCACCCTCAACTCCCTTCTTGCATCTAGTCTATTCTCAACACAGGACCAAAATGAAGCTGGTAGCCGATCATGCTACTTGTCTGGCCAAATCACCCCGATGGCTCCTCATCTCACTTGGATAAACCAAAGCTTTAACAGTGCCCGACAATGCGCCTCACTGTCTAGTCCCTTTACTTCCATGATCTCAACAGATCTCTCTGGTGATTACCTCTTACATTCTTTCCACTTTAGCTACAACATCCTCCACTCGATTCCTCAACTTTTTCAGAAATATCCTGCTGCAGAACTTTGGTAATTGTTTCTAGTGTCTGGAATGTAATCCTTCAGATACCTTCATGGTTCAGTTTCCACTTCCTTCATGTCTGTTCAAAGGTCACCTGCTCAGCAAGGTCTGCCCAGAACACCCCATTTTAACGATCACATACCATATCAGCACCACTCCCCCCTGCTGTTTTCTCTTTCTTCATAGCACTTATCATCATATGATGTAATTTATACTTAATTTTTCAGATTGAATGACCCTACTTTCCACAATATACATCTTATGAGGGCTTGAATATTTGCTTTTATTGTCCACCGCTGTAGCCTGTCTACCTAGAAGAGTATCTGGGATATGGCAGTTGCCCAATAAATATTTGTTGAATGAATGAACGGCTTCATTTATGTAACTGGTGCTCTGGTGTTTTAATAAGAGACCTACTTCTCTTCAAAATGCACACAGACAAAATACCATGACCTGTGCTGGCAAATACTGTGCTACTCATAGTAGGAAATATTTGGGGAGCTAATTTCAGGGGGCTAGGGATGAATTTTTAAATCTTTCTAGGTTACATTTAATGAATATTTTTATGGCTTTATTAAAGTTTGTTTGCAGACAGTTCCTTCTTAACTTCATGGGTTTACTATTCACTGAGAACCATAAATTTCCTTCTAGACATTTACAAATATCCACTCTCAAAACTCAAAAATGGCCATTAGGACTCACCAACTCAACTTTTTAGAATTTATTATTCGCCCTTCTAGCCTTCATTTACAAGATGGAGCCATTTTTTTTTTTGCTAGTTTAGCTTTATACCGTGGTGACTTTGCTCTTTTTCAAAATGTCTCTAGGTCTTACATGTAGACATTACATCTAGGTCTTACTCTAGATGTAACAGCCAGAAATTTGTACATTTCATTAGTTTGTATAATGATCTCATATGAAAGGTTAAGGTAGATTTTATTGTTGCTACTGTTGGTTTTCGGGTGTTGTTTTATTTATGGATTGTTTTGCAGTTCTGGAGCATTTTCTCATTCCTAACTCCTAGCTTGTGTTATACCTTTTTGACTAAGGTTGTTGACCTGAGAAATTATTAAACAATGGGAGTTTCTCTTTCTATGTATCTTTCTTTTTCTTTTTTAAATCAGTTTGCAAGTATTTACCCTAAAATGTTCACAATGTCATATGGACAGAATAGTATGCTGGATACATGTTGAAAGCAATGTAATGCAATACTTTAAAATACCTTCTTTAAATTATTTTTAGAACATTAATTTTAGAAATTTTTTTCTAAAATTAATAATCTAAAATGCTATTTCATGAATGATGCTAAAGGTTCTTTTTTGGTTTCTCATACAAAAGTATACTTGCAATCATAAGGTCCTTTTACTTGAAAGTATTATTGAAGAGAAAAATACTTCCTTTTCTCTCAATCCTCATATTACTTACAAATCTGTTGTTCTTGTTTAAAAAATCAAAATCCTTTTACCCAATGCCTCCAATTAGATATTAGTACCATTATACTGATTAATTTTTGGACCAAAAATATACTAGAAAATATGACAATATTCCCTACCTTTTACTAATTCTCCACTGTAGTATTTCCCATATGTCAATTCTGATCAAAATAAGAGAAATTTGTAGTAGAGTTAGTGAAATGATTCTCAGAGTGTATTAAGGCACCCTGGCATCTGTTTTAGAACTTCTGTGAAACTTATATAAGCAACCTAGGTAGTTAGGGTATGATTTTTAAGCAAGGTGTAATTTTCCTGCTATTCTTCACAATTAAAATAAGCTTTATTTTGTAGTTACTTGTACCTTTATAATTTCTCATCTTTCAACAGACATTTAATTTAAAATTGTTATTCATAGTTCACAAAAAAATTCATATTCTCTACCATATTTTAAGGGGGGGTGTCTGTTTTAATGTTTTTCTAATTCTGGACTGAAACCAACTGATTTTATTATCCATCACATTTAACATGAAAGTGGATGAAATTTATCAAAATGAATGTTCAATTCAAGTACATATTTTGGCATTTCTAACCAGAATCTGTGAATAAATAAGTTTCTTTAAAGTGCAGAAATGGAAGAGTCTATCAAAATGCTTCCCTGATCTTGTTTTACTTAACGATGTTGAAATTTTAAGGTGAAAATAGTCTATAGTGGTGACTTACCAAAATTAGAAGCATATTCTCCAATGAATCGCTTGGTAAGAAACCTTACTGTAAGGGCTGCAAATAAACAAGCTGGATTTAGGATCTTTTGTTAGGATGCAGATAATTTAGTTATGTACATGTAATGTTTTATCTTTCAGCTCAAAAATTACCAAGCATTAATGAATATCTTAAAGCCTTACTAAGTTCTGGTCTAAATAATACCAAGATTTCCACTGTATGAACATAAAGATTAGGAGAATAGAAAGTGAGCTTAGATGCTGACCATTCATGTAGTTAATGCATGATGCAAACACATAAGGCTTACTTTCTGTAAGAGAAATAGATTTTTCACCGATTTGAAAAGCAAGAACCAAAATATCTCTTTATTTTCTTTATCAAGTTAAATCTGTCTCTAAGGTGCTACATGCTAATAGTGAAGAGGATAGTATCAAGCATTTGCTGTTGTCGAAGGATCTAAGGATTTGCAAATTGAGGAAACTGAGAAAGGACCTCTAGTGTCGGTTTATGTTACTGCAGCTCCTGGGCTGGTCAGTGACGGTGGTTTAGGCTTCAGTTGCTCTCACTTGCTGGCATCCTCACCACCATCATAAAGTGACCAAAAATAAAGTAAAATGAAACAAAAACAAGGTTTCTAAAGTCAGAGCAGTGTCGCTCGGCTCCCAGGCATCTACAAAGGCATGCCCCTCCAAATTTTTTCACCTCGGTAAAAAGCAACATTGAAAAATAACCCACAGGTCTCCTGCACATTTCTTCCCACCCTTAATCTCAGGGTGAAAGAATCCTTGCAAGGCCACAGTTTACCGGTTAGAGGGTGTGAGGACAGGTGTGCTGAAGTGAGAAGTACACGGGAGGGTGGTGCTGAGATTTCCTGTTATTCTTATATATTTGCAACAGCAGTATAACAAATGACAAATGACCCTGTTATTTTCCTCAAGCTGTCTATACATTCTATAAATACAGTTAATTGTATTACTTGCTTGTAAAAGGTGCAAATGCCTAATGAGTAATATATGTGGTTATATGGATTATATCTATATATATCATGATATATATATATATATATAGATATAAATCACATAAATATGTTTCTCATTCTTTTTGCCATCGAAAAGCACAACTCACCAGACTTGCCTGTTCCTTCACCACCCAGGACAGCAAGTTTCACATCATTCATCTTGTTTTCTTGCTCCTTGATCAGTCCTGCTTCTGGCGCTGTACTGATTTGAGCCAAGCATGTGTTTTTTAAATCCTTTTTTATTAATGCTATCATTTTTCTAAGGCCAACTCCACCCCATACTCCTACCATCCAATAATAACTTCAAAAATATTTTTCTGGAGTAGCTTTGGACATATTTGATTAAAAGAAAAAAACTTTTGAGTTACTATTTAGACATGAAGGCTTATTAAGCCAGTAGTTAAGAATTCAGTAGAAGCTTCGCTCCCAATCTTCTATTTCTGTGTACCTAGAGTCCACATTCTTCAAGGACCTCGAAAAATTACCTCTCATTAAGAAAGCTTTTAGAGCATGTATAAACATTCCTGTAAACTTACTTTGATGGTATCAATTTTGCTTTTTCTATTAATGTTTTTCTCACATCTCCCTAAAAAATATCAACCCACAACCAAAAAAACCCAGTTTTCATTACTTTATTCATTATTGAATGAACAAAAATTTATTGAGTATTCCTTATGGACTTGGCACTATTTTTATTGCTAGAAACATCAGTGAATAGTTAAAATATCCATCAATTTTGGTCTTGGGAGATGGCCACTAAATATTAAAAAATAAGCAACTCATTACATATCAGGTATTCATGGATCCTGTAATTTCATCTGTTTAGTCTTATCTCTCTGAGGTCGGGTTAACCAGCCCTTCTCAACTAATTTCTCATTTCCCTACAATTTCTGTTAGAGTGGGTGCATAGTTTCTCCCCCAAAGCTTCATATTCAGAAGGATGGAGTGATTCAAAAAAAGCTCCAAGCTCTGTAATGCTGTTCTAGAACCTTGAAAAGATAGAATAGTTTTTCATATCATTTCCCAACTCATTTTCTATGTGAAACATATTGCTATATAATAAAAGTACTCCCGTTACTTGTTCTGGGAAGACTATTTTTAGGGTCTTACGTACTCATGGTTATAGTTTTTGGCTTACAGCCTCTTGGAATCTTTGCTTAAAATTTAACAAATCCTATTTGAATCCTGAACTCCAACCTACTCTACCAACTGCAACTAATCTGAGTTTATCTGTTTTCTTTTTTCCTCGTCCTTCCCTTCTCCCTCCATTCTTCCACCCTGGGTGTGACTATGTATCTTTCTCCTTTCTTTTCCTCTTGGATACCTTTAGAAACTTTTAGATGCTTTCTTTATCAGCAGTGTTCTAAAATGTCACAATGTTATTTCTTGGTGCACTTCATTATTTTCATTCACTGCACTAGTAGTCACTGGTCCTTCTAATTCTGAAGATTTACTTTTCAGTTTTAGGAAATTTTATAGTATTATTCCCTTAACAATTTATTCAACTCTATCTTATGTGTTCTTCCTGGATGAAACTCATATTAATTGGATTTTGAACCTACAAGACTGATTCCCAATGGCCTTGACATTTTCTCTCCTATTAATCTACTCTATACCTTTAACTCCTCCTTTATGGATTACTCCCTTGATTCTACCTTGTATATAGATATTAGTATAATTTATATAATTTTCCATTGAAGCATAGTTGATATGCAATATTGGTTTCAAGTATACAACATAGTGACTCAACAATGATCTACATTATGAAATGCTCACCCCAACTAGTGTAGCTATTATCTGTCAATACAGAAATACATTACAGCATTATTGACTATATTCTCTATGCTGTACTTTCATCCCTATGAGTAATTTAGACTGTGACTGAGATTTTCTGCCTCTTTATACCCTTCCCTTATTTCACTCCCAACCCCATCCCCTCCCCCATAGTGACCACCAGTCACTTCTCAGTGTCTATGAGTCTATTGCTGCTTTGTTCTTTTGTTTTTCGATTCCACATATAAGTGAAATCATATGGTATTTGTCTTTCTTTCTCTGCCTGGTTTATTCCACTTAGCATAATACCTTCTAGGTCCCTCCATGTTTTTGGAAATGGTAATATTTCTTTTTAATGGCTAAATAATATTCCATTGTGTTTATGTACCTCTTCTTCTTTATCCATTCATCTATCAGTGGATACTTTGGTTGCTTCCATATCTTGGCATTGTAAATAATGTGGCAATAAGCAAATGGGTGCATATATCTTTTTTGAATCACTAATTTTGTTTTCTTCAGGCAAATTCCTAGAAGTGGAATTACTGGGTTGTATATGACATTTCTATTTTTAGTTTTTTGAGGAACTTCTCTTCTCCATTGCTTTCCATAGTGGCTTTGCCAGTTTACATTCCTACTAACAGGGCAGGAAGATTCCCTTTTCTCCACATCCTGCCCAGCAATTGTTTTCTTGTCTTTTGGATACTGGCCATTCTGACTGATGTGAGGTGATATCTCGTTGTGGTTTTGATTTGCATTTCCCTGATGATTAATGGTGTGGAGCATCTTTTCATGTGCCTGCTGGACATCTGTGTGTCTTCTTTGGAAAAATGTCTATTCAAGTTGTTGGGTTATTTGTCTTTTTGGTGTTGAGCTGTATGAGTTATATGTATATTATACATATTATATATATACTTTTAAGAGTTATTTATTTGCTGTATTGCATTGAAATACTATAGACATTCCTTTCAATTTGGAGAAAAAGATAGTTTGATACCTTCTGCAACAGAATTTGCAGTTATATATGCTTGCCATTATAATAAACTTCACCTTTATGAACCAATATTGTTCTACATTACAATGCAATGTATAATAAATGATTTTTCTTATATGATATAAATGTGTGTCTATCAATTGCATTTGAACAAAGTATAAATGTTTATGTCATTCACAAGCAATTTAAAAACTCAGTTGACATCATTAATAGAATTGACCTATGACAGTTGTGCCTTTATAATTCTAAATCACTTGTAGAACAAGCTTTGAAAAATCCTCTTTCATTTGAGTATCATAGTCTAAAGAAATATTTTATTTGTTGTATAATGTTAGTAATTAACTAAATGACATAGGCCTATTTTTTCAAAAGAAAAATGGTGAATACCTCACCAATTCTCAAAGGTTTTCAAAGCATTGGTGAGACTAAATAGTTGCATGACTTTGCTAATTTTTTCCAGCATGTATATTCTAACTGCAATTATCCGTTCAAGGTTAAGATTCAGTATTTATTTTACAATTTTAAATTGTTCTTGAGATGTTTATTGTTTCAGAAGGTTTTAGTTTCCTGCTACATTTATAATAGTTGAAACATGATGGTTAATAGTAACTATAATTCAGCTATCCACCCTTTTTTGCCTTCTCTAAAAATTTGTGGCATCCTTTCCATAGACACGAATGATTTCCTTTGAAGCTATTTTAGTTTTTCTCAAAAGCTGGTAAGTAGGCTAAAATTTAGTTAGCTCTTTCTTAATCATTTTAAGTTGGTAGATAGAACAAAAGTTGACTATCTTCAAAAACAGCCTTTGTTCTGTCATGCAGCTGCTTTAAAACAGGTAGCTTGAGTGAGCAACAAATAGTTCAGTAAGTGCATGTTCTGCAAACATCTGATTTTACAAGGCTGAGCAGTGCAGATGTGAGGATATGGTACACAAATTAGCCTAACTTCTTTCATTACTCTTTAGAAATGAATATTCCAAAATGAAGTTAACAGAACTAAAGCTGAATCCTACAATTACACAAAATTGAATGAATAAAAAGTATGATTCCTTTGAAACCCTGTTGTAAATAGACCTCTAGGGATGTAATGGTTCAGACAAAAGCATATTTCTTACTCACAAAAAATATCAAATAAACGTTCCTGATCAGTGGAATAGCTCTCCTCCCATATCTTCAATGTCTGGCTTCCAACCATCCTGCACCAGGACAGCAGAAAGGGAAGAGCATGACAAATCAGGTGTGGGAGGCTTTGGTGGGCTAGCCTGGAAGAGGCGCATTTCACTTCTCTCCACATAAACCTGTATCACACACAGAACATCAGCACATCGGCTCTTCAGCTCTTTTCAGGTCTGCAATGTGCTAAATTTCCAGCCTTTGGACTGGAAATTACATAATTGATTTCCTGGTTCTCAAGCCTTTACACCCAGACTGAAACTCACCCCTGGATCTCTGGCTTTCCTGAATCTCCTTGTTGTCATCTGCAGATCTTAGGGCTTCTTAGCCTCCACAAGGCAATTCTTTATGCTATGTCATATGCAATAAATTCTATTGGTTTTATTTTTTCCTATTGGTTCTGTTTCTCTGGAGGACCCTCATGAATATTATTTCCAAGAAGATATTTTATGTTTCTAATAGAATATTTTGAACTATAATCTGCCGGCTTTACACAAAGAGTAAATATTGAAGCCAGAAATGCATGAAGCCTGTAGTCTTTCCACTCTAGCACTTGGCCGCCTACCACAGAACTCTCCTTTCCCTGCTCCTTTGTTTTACATGAAACAGATTTTTCCCTCTTTGATTTTTCTTTTCAAGATTCTGATCACCTGTGCCTCAATGATGTTATTCTAACAGGTTTATGATAAATATTTATTTTTTGCTTTTTTTCTTACCCCATCTACTTGGCTATTTTTTTCAAAAAACTGTAAGGCCATGGGTTTGTTTTGTTTTGTTTTGTTTTAGGTATTCTGCTATTTTGTTTCTTGTTTGGAGTAAGTGTGATTGAATTTTGTTTTCAGTTTTGTTTTATACCCAATATTTTCTTCTATGGTTTTTACTATTCTAAGATTCTGCAATGACTTTCTTTCATTTCTGCCAATTCCATATTAGGAAGAGAGCTGTATCCTTCATTAGTTTGCTATTGTTGCATAACAAATTATCACAAACTTAATAAATTAAAATAATATATATTTATTATCTTAGTTTCATAGGGCAGAAGTCCAGGCAGCACAGTACAACTGTATTTTCTGATTCAGGGTCTCACTGGACTGCAGTGTGGGTGAGATGGGGGCTGTGACCTTGTCTGAGTCCCTACAGGTGACAGAGCCATTACCACTCTCTTTGTGCTGTACGACTCTGGTGCCTTTTGCTGGTTGCCAGTCAGATGCCAGTCAGGTCCTCTCTCAGCTCTCAGAAGCTGTCTACAGTTCCTTGCCGCATGGCCTTGTCCAT